GGCCTTTGCCAGCGGCTGGCGCTCGGCCAGAAGGGTTTTTAGCTGATGTGTTTTTTATTGCCCGGGCCACGGAGCGGATCTGCGAGCTCCTCGCTAGAGAGTGGACCCGATGAATAATTCAGCCGCAGAGCACGGGTTAGATTGGGATCGATACGCCCCGTGGGACGGAGGGGGAAATGGAGAGGCGGAGAGGCGAGGGAATCACCCGAGGGTAAAGGAGGAGGCTGGGGCAGTGCCAGAGGAGAAGCTGAGGTGCTCCTGGCCCCCGTGCCCGAGCGCAGACAGCTCTGATGGACGTGTAGTGGGAAGCTCTGGCCCCGGGCTCCCTGCGGCAGGATCGCAGTGTGGGGGAGCTGTTTGTATTTCAGCCGGCAGGGCCAACGGGCCGGGCAGCTTCCCACATTTCCAAGGGCCCCTCGCGATCAGCCCGTCTGACCCGCACATACCGGAGAACGGCGCCTGGCCGTCCCCGCGCCCCTGGGTGGGCTCCAGGCTGCCATGCCCTTAGAGGCCAAGGAGGGGTCGGGGTGACTACTACGTGTATTCTGGTAGCCTCTAAAGGCCAGGGTCCAGCGGGGCAATTACTATGTATATTACAGTAGCCCCTAACAGCCAGGGTTGGGGGGGCAACTATTACATATATTAGGGTAGCTCCTAGAGGCCAGGGTCCTGGGGGGCAATTACTCTGTGTATTACGGTAGTCCCTGGGTTGGAGGAGATTACTACGTGTATTACGGTGGTGACTCAGCCCCCGCCCCCCCCAGCAGCCCCCCCAGCAGCCCCGCGAGGGGCAGAACTGTGGAAAGGGGGTTGGGGGACTCCCCCCAGGGGGCTGGCATGGACTCGCCCGCTCTCCTGCAGCCCCCTGGCTCCGGTGCCGCCCTGCAGAGCGTGCCCCCCCACAGCCGCCCCCCACCCCCAGCAGGGGCCCAAGCCCCACCTGGTGCTTGCCAGCGTCGTAGAAGAAGTTGGCCCAATTGGGGTCCGTCTGCATGAAGCGGAATTGGAAGAGCTCCCGCAGGCAGAGGCGCAGGACGTTGAGACAGATCTGTGGGGGAGAGGAGGGGAATTACTGGTATTCGGGCGGTGCCTGGGGACCCCCATTCTCAGCAGCAGTATGGGACCTTCGATCGGGGGCCCTGCCACGCCAGGCCCTGCCCCACCGGGTCATAATCCCCACGCTGCAGACCCAGAGACGCGGGGACTGGCTCCAGGTCACGTAGCAGCTTAGGGACAGAGCCAGAGACAGAACCCAGGAGTCCTGGCTCCCAGCCCCTGCTCTAACCACCAGCCCCCACTCCCCTCCCAGAGCCAGGGATAGAACCCAGGAGTCCTGGCTCCCAGCCCCCCATGCTCTAACCACTAGCCCCCACTCCCCTCCCAGAGCCAGCGATAGAACCCAGGCATCCTGGCTCCCAGCTCCCCGGCTCTGACCACTAGCCCCCACTGCCCTGGGGGGGCAGCCCGGCTGCCGTGCTTGTCAGACCGGCCCCCCCGCGTGTGCCCGCCCCTCACCTCGTTCCGGAGGTCCTGGGGCAGCTCCTGGCACTGATCCAGGGGGACGCCGCTCCCCAGCTCCATGGTCAGCACCCGCCGCGTCGTCAGCTCGCCCACCACCCTGGGCACCTCGAAGAAAGGGTCGCCGGCCAGGAGCTGCCTGGGGGGTCAGCAGGATACCGCTGGCTACCCCCGCTCTGCCAGCCACGAGCCCCGAGCCCCCCACCCCCAGGGGTGGGAAGCCACCAGGCCCCCAGCTCTGAGCTGGCGGGACGCTAATTCTAGGGGGCTGGGCAGCCCTGCTAGAGGGGGGCCAAGGAGTAACCCATAGGTGGCTTAGGTCAGTTGCAGCAGTGCATGCTGGGACATGGAGCCCCCAGGGCCCGCACCCCGAACACAGGAGCAGTGCATGCTGGGACATGGAGTCCCCAGGGCCCGCACCGCTAACACAGGAGCAGTGCATGCTGGGACACGGAGTCCCCAGGGGCCGCCCCACTAATGCACTTGCAGTGCATGTGGGGACACACGGGAGAGGGGGAACCCCTAATGCAGGAGCAGTGCATGCTGGGACACGGAGTCCCCAGGGGCCCCCCCGCTAACGCAGGAGCAGTGCATGCTGCACTGAATGGGGACTGGGGGGCCAGGACCCTGCTGCCAGCCCACAGCCCCTTCCCGGAGGCCCAGCACACGGGGGGCCCAGCCCGGTCGGTACCTGAAGCTCCGGGCGCAGTCGGCCTCGCGCCGGTAGTCACACTCCCACTCCAGCTCTCTCTGCAGCACCTGCAGCGTGTTGTCGGCGAAGAGGCCTGGGGAGGGCAGAGGGGGGTGAGGCTGCGGGGGGGGAGGAATCTCCCCTGCAGCCCCTGAGAGAAAGGGGCCCCAGAAGAGCGAGCCACGCCCAGGGGAGGGGGCAGGCGAGACGCTGGGTAACACAGCCCCCCCCCAGGCCCGGCGCAGGCCCTTACCTGCTGGGAGCACCGCGCTGACCCTCAGCAGCGCCAGCAGGTTCTCCACGTCGCTCCGGATGCTCTGGGCTATGCCCGGGTACTGCGGGAGGGAGAGAGAGGCGCTGGCTCGGAGAACGGAGGGGGGAGCGCCAGGCACCCCCCAGGTCGGAGCCCTTCCCAACCCCCACCCGCGAGAACAGCCAGGGCCACTGCCCCACTCAGGAGAAACTGAGGTACCCAGAAGGGAAGGGAGCTGATTAAGGTCACAAAGCAAGGCAGTAACAGAACTAGGAATAGAACCGAGGAGTCCTGGCTCCCGGCCCCCCCTGCTCTAACCACTAGACCCCAATCCCCTCCCAGAGCCGGGGACAGAACCCAGGAGTCCTGGCTCCCGGCCCCCCCGCTCTAACCACTAGACCCCAATCCCCTCCCAGAGCCGGGGAGAGAACCCAGGAGTCCTGGCTCCCGGCCCCCCCTGCTCTAACCCCTCCCTCATACTCCCTCTGTAATTGGCCCCAGCTACCCTGAAGCTGCCACCCATGGGTGCTGGGGGGCAAGTGCCGCTCACCTGGATCTTCATGGCCACCTCCGTCCCGTCGCAGAGCACCCCGAGGTGCACCTGGCCAATGGACGCCGCTGCGAAGGGCGTCTCCTCGAAGGAGGCCACCTTCTCCCGCCAGTCCTGCCCCAGTTCCTCTGCCAGCACTCTCTGAAACGTGGGGGGCGGGGGGGAGACACGCTCAGCCAGTGTCCTGCCCTGGGGACACGCCGGAGTGTCTCGTCTCTAGGGCACCGGCTCCACAGGCCTGGGGGCTCTCAGTCCCATCGCCAGCAGGACGCCTCAGGGCTCTCCCTGACCCCCCCGGGATACATGCTGTGGGGCGGCCGCCACTCACCCTGGTCTGCCAGGCCGGCATGAAGTCCGCGCTCTGCCGCACCCGCGCAAAGATCCGCTGCAGCTGGGGGCTGAGGAAGCTGTTATCTGCGGGGAGAGGCGGGCTGGTCAGCGGGGTGCTCCTGGGCCCGGACGCACCCCCACACCTGCCAGACTCAGCCCCCGGGAGAGGCAGCCCAGCCCGTGACATTCGTGTGCCCGGCGTGCGGGGCTCTCTGTGCATACCCGGCCCCTCCAGGGACGGGCCCTTCCCCAAGGCTGAGGGGTCGGGGGGGGCTGGGCACTTACCTTGGATACTCAGCATCTGCCCGATCTTGAGGGCGGCGCCCCGCACCTTGCACAGCGTGTCCACGATCCGCGCCGCGTTGGCCTCCGACAGGAAGGGGCTGGAGCCCAGGACGGAGCCGCTGCCGTCTGCGCAAAGGGGGCAGGGAGTGAGGGGGGGGGGTGTCCTAGGGCTAGTTCCTCGCGGGGCTGACACCCACATCTCAGCAGCCCCCATGGGAGACCAATGGGCCAGCAACCCAACCCCCTCCACCCCCCTCTGACCCCTGCCCCAGCGGCGTACGGGCCACGGGGATCCAGTCTCCAGGGCTACCCCTTTGACAGCCAGGCAGGAGCCAGCCCCCCACTTACCCCTTGGCTTCGTCTCCCCATTGAGCGAGTTCTTGGCCATCTCTGCCAGGGCCCCGATGCCCAGCCCCACCGCCAGACCTGGGGAGAGAGGCACGGGTCAGAGGGCTGCTGCTCGGGGGGCTGGGCAGAGGGGGCGAGGCCAGGGATCCCGCACAGGGCGAGCCATCGGCCAGGCCGAGACGTGGGGCGCGCTAGCCCCTTGCTGGCTACTCACGTGATACACCACGCACAGACAGAGCAGGGCCAACAGGGGGCAGTAGGGAAGCAGACAGACAGACACCCCCCCTCCCTCCCCAGCGCAGGGACACGGACACCCCCCGTCTCAGCCCTGGGCTCTTGCGGACTCTACCTCCGAAGCTGGCGAGCCGACCCACGCGCGACGCAGGCACCGTCCGCTCCCGGGCTCTCTCGCTGAGCTGGTGGGAAGAGAAGAGGGGCAGGGCTGGGGGGGGGGCATCGTGTCCAGCGGGGGAGAGTGCAGGTCTGTGACGTGGGGGCTCCGTTCCCAGCTCCACCACTGCCCCTGCCCGGTGACCCTGGGGACGTCCCTGCCCCGCCTCGTGCCTCAGTTTCCCCTCTCCCCCCACCCCGTGTCGATCTGTGCACTCCTTGGGGCAAGGGCTGGTTCTCGCTCTGTGTCTGGGGGGGCTCTGATCTTGGTGGGGGTCTACACGGGTTACCGTAATGCACCTAATAACAGGCTTCGAGATCTGCAGTCAGAGATCTGTTCACAGCAAATATTTAGAAACAATGCCCAGGATTTTAGTAAGCTGAGGCCCCTTTAAGGTGTCCCAAGCACACACCACTCCCCCAGCCCCTTTTGGCTGTCCTGCACCAAAAGTCTAATTAAAAGACACCCCACCCCTCCCGACAGCACTCCCTCCCTGTGCCTGCGTCCCCCCGGCATCTCCCACTGACCCCTCCTCACCTTCTGCCTAGGTGCCCGAGCCGACTCCTCCAGGCCCATCTTCCGCCTGGCCTCCCGGGCTCTGCGGATGTCGTCAGCCGTGAGGGCTCCCAGCGCCGCGTCTCGGTGGAAGAGCCGGCCGGGGCCGAGACCGGGGCACCCGGAGCCCCTGGTGCCGGTGTGTGCCGCGGGCAGGGGGGGAGGAGCCGACTGGCCAGAAGCCCTCGCAGCTGTGGGGGGGCCCCCTAACAGAGACACGTCTGGGGGCTGCTTGGGGGCCCCGTTTGGACTTGATGTGCCACCTCTCTCTCTTGGGACGAGCTCCTGGGGCCCCCGGACTCCTGCCTGGAACAGGAGAATCAAGGAATGTGTCTGCGTGTCTGTGTGTCCGTGCATGAGTGTGCGTCTGTGCACGAGCGTGCATCTGTGTGCGAGTGTGCGTCCGTGCGAGTGTGAGAGGCGCTTGCCCTGAATTCCCTTCACACGACCCCATGGCACCCGGCAGGTCATGGGCACTGTCTGGACCAACCCACCCACCCTTTCCCTTGCGGAAACCCGGAGGGTGACGGGAAAGAGCCAGTGTCCCACCGCACCCTCTGTGAGGGCGTCCGGGGTGGAAACACTGGTGGACTGTCACCCCCCAGGGCGAGGAGGAGGACCGGCTACTGGGCCAGCCCTCACAGGGTCTAGACAGGTATAAGGAGATACAGCACCAAGTGCGGGACCGGAGACCCAGAGATGTATGAGTAGAGAGAGACACGGATGGGAGGATGGATGGATGGAAACGGGATGGCTGGAGATGGGGTGGACGGGTAGATACACACAGGGAAGAGAGGGGTGGGTGGGTGGGATGGATGGATGGAGACGGGATGGCTGGAGATGGGGTGGACGGGTGGATACACACCGGGAAGAGAGGGACGGATGGGTGGGATGGATGGATGGAGACGGGATGGCTGGAGATGGGGTGGACGGGTGGATACACAC